CCTCTGGAATTTTAAGGATAGTAGTAGGAAAAAAAAGTAACTTTTAATAATCAACTTAGGTCTGTTTAAACGTATAAAGATAATTAATTTCAGAATTGACTAAAATATGCAAAGATTATTTATTATAAATTATAAAATATGAAAATTTCACGATTTCTGATATAATACTTTCAACGACAGATTTCAGCAAATGTTGCCCTTTTTAGTACATCTTTTTTGTATTTTTATGAAAGTTTATGTAGTCGAGCAGTTTTTGAAATTAGTCAGATGTTATGGAACATCTATTTTTTTATTTTAGCTGATCCATTCTGTTTTACCCCCCCCCCCCCCCCCCCCTAAAATGATAGTACATAAGAAGAGGCCCCAAGTGCCCGGCGGTGCTGGAGTCCGTGGCGGCGCTGACGGACGCCGACTCGGCGCCGGGACCAGGGGTGCGAAGAATCCCCGGGCGGCAAAAGTCCCCCGTCAAACGACCTTGGCCCTGGCAACGTACAACGCACGCACACTACGGACCGAGGAGAAGCTGCTGGAACTGGAGGAAGAATTGAGCAGGATTCGCTGGAGTATTGTAGGACTATCTGAAGTCCGAAGAGAGGGCGAGGACACGATGGTCCTTAAATCCGGCAACCTGCTCTATTTCCGGGAGGGCGAAGATCTGTCCCAGGGTGGTGTCGGGTTTGTTGTCCACAAGTCTCTCGTGAACAATGTTGTACAGATCGGTAGTGTGTCGAATAGGGTGGCGTACCTTATACTCAGAATCACCAAACGGTATTCGTTGAAGGTCATACAGGTATACGCTCCGACCTCGACGCACCCCGACGAGGAAGTGGAAGTCATGTATGAGGATATTTCTCGGGCAATGCATGCTTCCAGGACCCATTACACCGTTGTCATGGGGGACTTCAACGCAAGGCTGGGCAAACGTGGCGATGATGAGTTGAAAGTGGGGCAATTTGGAGTTGGAATCCGGAACTTCCGAGGTCAAATGCTAGCCGATTACATGGAGAAGGAGGGACTCTTTATGATGAACTCCTTCTTCAGAAAACGGCTGCATCGAAAATGGACCTGGAAAAGTCCGGATGGCGTGACAAAAAATGAGATTGACTTCATCATGTCGACTAAGACTCGGATATTCAATGATGTCTCAGTGATCAATTCGTTCAATACGGGAAGCGATCACCGAATGGTAAGAGGCACATTGAATCTAAATGTCAAAGCCGAAAGGAATCGACTGATGAAGTCCACGCTCCGTCCTGAAGCCATCCAGATCCAAAACCCCGAGCGCTTTCAACTCGAACTGCAAAATCGCTTCGATTGCCTAGAGAGCTGCGTAGACGTGGACAATTATAATGACAGGTTTGTTGAAGCTGTCCTTACGGTGGGCTCGAAGTTCTGCAAGCCCATCCGTACCAAAAAACGTAGCAAGATCTCGGAGCCGACTCTCAAGCTCATGGAGAAAAGGCGTGAGATGGGTCTGCAGTCCTCTGAAGATGCACGTCGGCAGCTCAATAGGCAGATTTCGAAGTCTCTGACTCGCGATATACGCCGCTTTAATACTGATCGTATTAAAGAGGCCATCGAGCGGAACAAAGGCTCGAAAGTGTTCGCAAGAAATCTGTCTCTTGGACAGAGTTTGCTGACGAAGCTGAAGACAGAGGACGGCAGAATCATTTCGTCGCAACCTGAGCTTATGGCTGAGATCGAAAGCTTCTACGGACAGCTATACGCGACATCACGAGTACCTGTCACAAAGGCGACCGACCCAAGAGCCAAATTAACCCGACACTACACCGAAGATATCCCGGACGTCAGCCTGTACGAGATTAGTGTAGCTCTGAAACAGCTCAAAAACAATAAGGCGCCGGGTGATGACGGAGTTACAGCCGAGCTTCTGAAAGCAGGTGGACGACCAGTCTTGAAATCTCTTCAGAAGCTATTTAACTCTGTCATACTCGAGGGCAGAACGCCTAGCGCATGGCATAGGGGATTGGTGGCGCTTTTCTTCAAGAAGGGCGACAGGGCCCAATTGAAGAATTACAGACCCATCACGCTCCTGAGTCATGTATACAAGCTGTTTTCGAGAGTCCTCACGAATCGTCTCGCGCGCAGGTTTGACGACTTCCAGCCTCCCGAACAAGCCGGATTCCGTAAAGGGTTTAGTACCGTAGACCACATCCATACGCTGCGGCAGGTTATACAGAAGACCGAAGAGTATAACCTGCCATTATGCTTGGCGTTTGTGGACTACGAGAAAGCCTTCGATTCGATCGAGACATGGGCCGTGCTTCGGTCACTCCAAAGGTGCCAAATAGACTATCGATACATCGAAGTGTTGCAGTCGTTGTATGAAAACGCCACTATGTCAGTTCGACTCCGGGACCAAAGCACGAAGCCAATCCAGCTACAGCGTGGTGTAAGACAGGGTGACGTTATATCACCGAAACTGTTTACAGCTGCGCTGGAAGACGTTTTCAAACTTTTGGACTGGAGCGGACTTGGCATCAACATAAACGGCGAGTACATGACGCACCTTCGATTTGCAGATGATATCGTAGTCATGGCTGAGACCATGGATGACCTTGGCACAATGCTCGGCGACCTCAGTAGGGTGTCCCAACAAGTGGGTCTCAAAATGAACATGGACAAGACGAAAATCATGTCGAATTCCCATGTCGTACCCACTCCAGTGACTGTTGGGAGCTCTACACTGGAAGCTGTTGACCAGTACGTATACCTGGGACAAATAGTCCAACTGGGTAAGTCCAACTTCCAGAAAGAGGTTAATCGACGAATCCAACTCGGCTGGGCAGCGTTCGGGAAGCTACGTAGCATCTTCTCGGAACATCTACCGCAGTGCCTCAAGACGAAAGTCTTCAATTCGTGCGTGTTGCCAGTGATGACATACGGAACCGAGACGTGGCCGCTTACAATGGGTCTTGTAAGAAGGCTCAAAGTCACCCAAAGGGCAATGGAGAGGGCTATGCTCGGAGTTTCTCTGCGTGATCGAATCAGAAATGAGGAGATACGCAAGAGAACTAAAGTCACCGACATAGCCCACAGAATTGCAAACCTTAAGTGGCAATGGGCAGGGCACATTGCTCGCAGGACCGATGGCCGCTGGGGCGGAAAGGTCCTCGAGTGGCGACCGCGTACCGGGAAACGCAGTGTTGGCAGGCCCCCCACAAGGTGGACCGACGATCTGGTAAAGGTCGCGGGAAGCCGCTGGATGCGGGCAGCATGGGACCGATCGCTGTGGAAATCCATGGGGGAGGCCTATGTCCAACAGTGGACGTCTTTCGGCTGATGATGATGATGATGATGATGATGATTCTGTTTTACTTAATCCATTTTTATTAAGTATGGATCAAAATTTTTATATCTTAGGTTAAAGTTAGGAAGGAGATTATTTTACTTATAAAGCAACGAACAATAAGCAATCTGTTAAAATAAAAGTATCGAAGAAGAGTCAACCCAAATAAAAAGTTATACTTTTTCGAAATTGTCTCTCCGTTGAATCATAAATAATAACGAAAAAAAATCTAAATCAAAAACTACGAAAAATCGTTAAACATACATGGGGATTAAATTGATATTGATATAATATAGTACTCCGCTATCAGATCGCATTGGCTTGATTGACACCCTAAAAGAAACAGCCTGTATATATAGACTGTTAAACACAACCCAGCTAATTTCAAAATGGCGTCTTTTGAAAAGCGGCTAGTGGCTGCCCCCCCCCTCCCCCCCTTTAACGTTACATTACACCAACTGATCATTTTTTACCCAAATGTCACAACTATGTTGCGCAAACTGACCATTTTTTACCCAAATGTCACAACTATGTTGAGCAAACTACCGGAAAGTCGTCAAATCACTTTTCTTATTGTTTTAATCGCGTTTGCGGTAGTAATTAATAATTAAACCAATCGATTTCTAATTCGCAATACATGTCCTTATAAACTTTTTTCTTAAGATTAGTAGAATCTTACATTTAAATACGCCGTTTTCCTGACTTGGCTCGGTCATTTTTGGCGTCGTCCTCCATTGTACTTATCATACATTTTCTATCTTGGTTTTTTTAACTTATAATCTTGGGAGAGCAAAATAAAAATGTCGTACAATACAATCGGGGGATTCCTCGTAAACGATAAACGAAAAGGACTGCCAACTTGGGAAATTTATATACCCTAGTTTTTTTTATTTACATAATAACAATTACGTAACCCGTTGATTGAACCCCCCTCCTGCCCCTGTTACGCATCGTAACGTTTAACAACCCCCCCCCCCCCCCCCAATTGCGTTACCTAATACTTGGACGCCCCCTCTCAGGGTTGTTATACAATTCTGCTATATGTATTTCTCTCAATCTGGACTTTTACTGTTTTCATTCTCTGCCAATACATGGCCAAAAACTTTTGTCTATGTTGAATATCCAAATATATGATCTGTCCTTTGTTCTTCAGACTACGGAAATCTTGAATACTGATGTTTCTGCATTGCATGCTGGTCAACGAGCAAAAGCTATCAATCATGCTCCATATTTTCAGCTTCATTGGTCTAATCTCAGATCTGTCGATCACTCGATACATGCGTATACTCTTTGTTCAGAATGATTTTATTTTATTCCTACAAAAAATTGTCTGAACAAACATAGAAGTACAGTTTGGAATTAATGGAAAAACGATACTTAAATGCAACAACAATGTATCTGTAAAAGTAACGGATACGAAAATATGTAATACTTTAACTACAAAAAAAATATGAGTTTAAGAAGAAAACAACATACAAATTTTACTTACATCGTTTAAAAGAGTATCACAATTTTTTGTACTATTATAACATGTTTTAGGAATAGGCTGTATTGTCTATTTCTTCATTATTTTATTGAATGTGAGACTCGTTGCATAATATACTTTAATATGACACAACAAATAATGAGATTGATAAAGCTGGAAGTAAAGCGTTTGAAGTTCTAATAAATATATTTCATTCCATACCAGGTATGAGTACTCAGTTGCCACTGTCACCAATGTTGGCATCTTTGCTGGCAGTGGTTGCACTGCTATGTACCGGTGTATGTGGGGTCATCACAGCACTGTATAGGCGACATACAGCCAGAAGACTCGATAGAGACAAACAACCGCCAACTGCGTAAGTACCTACGATACGTTCGTCTTTTATTTCTTAGGATTCCTTATATTTTACGTATCATCCTATTACAGAAAGTAGTGAATATGTTCTTCATTCTGAATCACTCAATTTTACTTTTACTACTTAAAAATAATCATTATTCTTTCTAGGGCAATTTATATTGACCAAAGCGTAGACTCGCTTTCGAAACAAGACCACATGAGCACATACTGTAGCTCTCCAAAAGTAGACTACTGTAGCCAATATGAGCTTAAAATGGACGGAGATATAGAAGAGACAGATCCCGACATAATACCGTGTAACTATGGTAAAATTTTATGTAAATATAAAAATCTTCTACATTACCACTTATTTGATTACAAAATATCTTTTAGTCTACGTTTTTAACTGTTTATCTATACACCTTTTCTTCACTGTTTATGAAATAAGGTTAAGAAATAAACAGTATCATTTCTGTAAATAGCTTTTACTGTTTTAGATAAAAAATCTATAGCAGAACTTAGCAATTTGCCAACGCCCGCTGCAGATTTGGATCCAAGTAGGATATTCTGCGAGCGACCATTTGGATTTCCCACAAGTACTGTAAGTATATCTACTCCAGTTACACATTTCAATTATTCAGTTAAGCTATTTTAAACAAGTATCTACATTTTGGAAGGCTTTGATTTGAGATAAAACAAATTTTGATTTTAAATTTATTCTACTCACGGCTTATTGATGGAGAAAAGATATCTCTCAAGATCGCAAATTCACACAATAATTCATAAATAAATATTCATTTAAATACCTATACAGAATCGTGCCTATGTTTGATCAAAAAAGTATTAAAATCGTCAATTCTAATAAGTTCTCATTATTGTAGTTGCTTGGTACACACCGAGCAATCTCAATGTGATATTGGAGTAATTCTCCTTGGCGCAGCGCTGGTATGTGCAGAATTACTCCAATGAAAAGGAAGGAGAATTACAAGGAGGGTAGGTCGCAGCGAAGATACTGAGAAGTTTGTTAACTAATATTGTTATATAAGTTAAACCATAACCCAAACTCTTATATCATAAATTTAAATATTTCATGGCAAACATGGAAAAATACTAAAGCGGTGCTCAGTGCTGCGAAGCACCCACGAGAGCTAGCTGGCGCGCGATACTCAACTCCACTCTAGACAGCGCGCTGCCTCCGTGACTCTAGGCAGCGCGCTGTCTAGAATCACTAATAGTTAAATGAATATTGGTGTAAATTAATGACTTCAGTGTCAAAAATTTATAATTGTTCACTAAATAGAGATCGTGAATATAAATATAACTTTAACGGATCGAAATTCATTCCAGTCATTAAAAATGAGCTGAATTACACAAACATGGTCCTAAAGAATCTATTGTCGTTTGTGCGACAAAGTCGTGTTGTATTTCACCTCTACAAAATTATTGATTTCAAAGATTAAACGAAAGGAACGTTGTTATTTGAAAGTGGATTGATTCAATTATTTACGAAGAAGAATTTAATTTTATTCACGGATCGAGTTACACCGTCTAACAGTGAAAATTTCAGTTTTGAATTGACGAACTTTCTGGAATAATGATATCATAACAATAATATCAGCTTAGGGAATAAGTTTTTGCCGTGAACGAGTTCGAAGTTATGTTTTCCGATGAACTATATAATTGCGAAGTAAAAGTCATTAATTAAGTGTCAAATATTTACTAAATAATGAGGTGGTTCATACTACAATTCCTCAAATGGCGTTTAAGTAATTATTTGCTTTTATAGTTTTACTGTAGTTCTAATACTGACTAATGTTGCAAAACAATATTTTTTTAATATGGCCTCTAACGAATGACGTCATCGTTTATCATGATATGTTTAAATTAATTTGTAATAATACAATTCTTCGTTTCCAGGCTACTTACATATAAAGAGCGATTATACTGTGCATATATTTATACGTATTTTTTTTTTAATAATTTGGATGATCTTCAAATTTACCTCGGTCCCTCTCAGTCAATTATCTGATGCAATACTGGCCACCAATAATGATTTGCGACAAATTGTACAGTGGCGCAAATCTTTCGGACTAGAGGTAAATTCCTCCAAAACATTATACAATATTATAGGTAGCTCAAGGTTGATTGCTAAAGTGATTTTGCAATAACTTCCTAACATAACTCTTGCTGGCACCAGTATTTCATTTAGTGTTTCGTTAAAGTTTTAGGAATAACTGTCAATAACCGTTTCAGTTGGGATCTACAGTTAGAAGCTGTTAACCGAAAATTGTTTGCTTCAGCAGCCTCGCTGAAGCGACTCCGTAATATCCTTCCTATTGCCACCAACCCTAGCCCAGTCGCTGCCACTTCCTATTTTTGATTACGCTGAAGGCTGCTATTTTGATCTCCCTGGGAACCAGCTTAATAAGCTTGAGCGACTTCGAAATTTCTGCATTCAGTTTATATTTTGTCTTTGTCTCAATTCCGATCACAGCTCAAGTTATTCGGCTTAGCCTGAATACTCGCATCCTCACACTTATCTTCAATATATTGTTCAATCTTTTGTCTCCGCACTATCTTAAGGAATGTCATAGTTACCTTCATGATTCGAATACGTTATCTCTTAGGTCATCAGAAAATTTAACCCTAAACATTCCTATCCAGTACACGACCTTCTAGTCATTCTTTTACCGTCCAAGCTGTACGTCTATGAACTTCACTTCCATTATGAGCCAAAAGACGAGCACAATCTATTAATGTCTTTAAAAATCTTGTTGCAAATGGCTATTTGTCGATGTAGCTGCATTTCTATCTCTGTTGACTGGACTAAACTTATACTTATATGTATAGTCTATGTCAAAGTCAAAGTAAAAATCTAAAGTATGTATGTATATATATTTAATTCATAAATTCGTTAATATCCCTTGTTTATTTTACTGACACCGTCAAATCCATCTTTCTTTCAGTCTTCTCACTAAGCACTCTTTTTTACAATTGTAATTTCTCTAATTTCTGTTCTGTGTTGAGGTGTTTTCATAAAATATCGTGTATTTTATTGTATTGTATATAAGTCTAATTAAAAAGTAACGGTTTTCGTGTTGTTATCCTATACGTTATAGCCAGTTTCCAATGAACTCTGCTTTATTAATGATCCTCCGGCTTACGTTTTGTATAAAAAATAATATTGTGGCAAATTACAGTGAAATTGTGTAATTCCTCAGGCCTCTGTCGGAAATTTGAAAATTCTTTCTTAATTAATCTGTTTCCTTGAACATGTCTTTGTTTACTAAATTCGTAATTATTATTGAAATTCGCATTCGTATTTATACTTTTGAAAATAATGAAATACAATCGACTTAAATATGGACCGATTTCTTCCAAGTCCCTTTCATTAAAATGTATATAAGCGTCGCTACGCAAGAAATATATAGAAGAGGTTGCGGTCACGACGCTACTTTACATTTGTATGAAAGGGACGCGGAAGAGACACGTCCGCGAACCGTCTTCGTCTCACGTCTTTTCTGTGTGACTAGCTAGCACTTATTGGAGAAAAAAGAAAAAAATGGTTACTGAATAGTTATACATTATATTAATACAAGCATTTATGGCCATATAGACGCTTGTAAAAAATATCACTCGTGCCGTTGCTACCCTGCCTCAATTCCTTACGCCTGGAACCTAACTCACCGACAGAATATTTATGGGCGCCGCCAGGATTATTTTCAGGGGGGTGCATCTACCTACACATACTATTAAATCAATATAAAATATAGAAAATGCAATGTCAATCATATCCAAGATATCATTTTTCAATACATTCTTTGTATATTTAAATGTTTACATATTTAATTTATTTTCATAATTCGTTCGTTCGGGACATGTCATAGTACTGATGGTACTGAGGGAACATCATGGAGAGAAGCCCATTCCATAATGTTACTGTCCATGGAATAAAGCGATCTCTAGAAACGAACATTTGTGGAATTTAGTGTTCCCAGATAATATAAACTTGACACCGGTGACGGGTGGTGTGGTAAAATGGTGCTTTTGGTATTAACTGGAACAATTCTTCGGAGCAGTCACCAGGAAAGAGTCTGTAGAATACGCATAATAGGCAATCAAAGCCCTTGCGCAGTTCTAAGGGATCCAGATTTGCCGCTATTTGCTTTATTGCCAGACTCTGCGAGAAACTTTACTTAGTGAGCGTATGGGATACGCAATGGTAGCTGTAGAAAGAACCAGGCATTGATGCCGACGACTGTAATGGGACATCGACCACAACCTTGTGTCTGACTGGTGATGTTGCGGCCCTCTAATTATTGTCAGACCTTTTTACTACCATGCTATGTATATTTTCTTAATTCATTCTTTTTAGCTGCCATAAAAAATATGTCATCTGCTGTCTAATTGTCATGTATGAATTACCTGTAAATTGATACTATAAAGATATCGGGTTTAATTCAATTATTTTGTATCTTTAAAAGCAGAACCAACAGGGATGATTCATGACTCTCAATATCTGGGTGGCAAGTACACAATTTTGGGAGAAACCAGAGGGCCAGAGCTGTCATGTAAAGCTCGACCTAGGGAGTAAATGGTGCGAAACCCCATCCGAACCTGATATTTTTATATAACTAGGTGACCCAGCGAACTTCGTACCGCCTTAAAAATAGGGGCAGGTGGTAGATGAGAAAAAGGGTTGTATGTATTTTTTAATACCACATTATAAAAAAAATAATGTCCAAAATAACATTCCTCCTAACCCATATGAGAAAACTACGTTACAATACCCAATAGTTTGAATTTTGGCGCAAAGGCGCAAAAGCAGCTTTCAGAACACTACGTTACAGGTGGACAACCATTATCACTTAAGGATATGAAAATTAGATAGTAGCCGATTCTTAGACCCACGGAATATGCATATAAAATTTCATAAAATCGGTCAGGCCGTTTCGGAGGAGAAGGGTAACTAACATTGCGACCTTTATCAGTTACTAGCCGTGCCCCGCGGTTTCACACGCGTTTTTCTCGTTTCCGTGGAAAAACCGAGATAAAATATTGCCTATATTATATTTTTATTTATTTGTTTAGAGTCAGGCAACGTAGGCCCATAGATAAATACCTTATAGTCTAACATAAATGCAGATATAGGTAATACATGAAATGTTAGTAATTAAAAAATAATAATAACTATGTTAGTAGAAACCTAATTAACATGTATAGACGGCGACGTGTGACGCGGAGTGGTGTCAGGTAGCCGGCCTCGGAACCGCCGGAACACAACACCTTTCGGCCAAAAATCTTTTTTCATGAACGTCGCCAGATGTTCGGTTGGCACCCGCACCACAAAGGAATTAAAATTCACATTGTGACGGGACTCCAACCGTGCGACTCTGAGGGAGAAATTGGTCTTAATCTGCAGGTACTCTACGATCTCCTCTTCCTTCGTAGAGTAATGCAGTCGGGACACGTACAGCGGCGTCGGCGGTATTGCAGATGGTTCGGTCCGGTCGGGGAGCGGCACCACACAGATTGCGGCGAATGGGCTTCCTCTTCTTCCTTTCCACTTTAATGAAACCCTCTTCGTCAGAAATCCCCGCTTTTGTGACGCTGCCGGAGTAGCACGTTGGATGCTGAGTTTGCTACTCTTCTCTGTTTGTTGTTTACTACGACGCTCGCAATTCGGAACCGCTGGTCGGCTGGCGGCTGCAGCTGCGTAGGCACGTTGCGGTGTAGACGTGCATGCGCGTGACGTCTCCGGTGTGACGAAGGGGCGGGCGGCGGCGGGTGGCGGCGGGGCGCGAGGCATCGCTCGCGGTGACGGCGGTCGGTGACGCACTCGCAGGCGCCGACTCAATGCTGCCGACGGATGCATTTTGCGCCCCACAATGTGTGTTCACGTTAGAGGCTTCGGGTGACCTACTTGCGCATGCATTGTTGCCTAATAAGTCTATCTGAGCTCGCAACTCACCGATGGTGTTATTAGCGTCCTCCAACTTGCTCACTACATCAGCCAGGCTAGCTTTCAGGAAGTTGATGTCCTTCAGCAGCCTGGTGACATCGACGTGGTCGAACGTGACCGGGGGCAGCTTGTGCAGCTCCTTTGCCACGAATGTAGGCACGTCGTCCGGATCCGTCTCCTTTAGCAGGGTGATTATATCCTGCACACTCTTTTCTGTTCCATCCCTCCGTCGAGATGGCATCTCGTCGGCCTTGCCGACAAACCGGAACAGCAGCGCCTTGCCACTGCAAATCTCATCCTCCTTGAAGTTAGACTTACAGATCTGCAGGATGTTGACCTCGTCCATGGTGTCAATGGCGCATTGTATAAACGCCAACAACTCGTTAGCTATGAGTTGATCGGAACTCATTGCTACCGACTCACGACGACTGTTGCCGCGTGGAGCGCGAATTAAATTCTTACTGTACAGTGGCGCACGACCGCTTGCAAGTACGCATCGCACTGCATTGCATTATAGCCTGCATCAAGCGCGCGTGGATTTCCTTAGCAGAGTTATTTTAGAAATGTATTTATTATACTCTTCAAAGATCTTATACTTACAATCATCAACAAATATATTTCGAAAAAGATTATTACAGGATTTTATGTTGATAAAAAACTCTATGGTCCATAACTCATTAATAGGTACCAACTCTTAACATCTTACGCACATGATAACTTTTAAACGAAATATCCGATTGAGATGAAACAAAAATATTTTACTTCTACATAAATACTCTTGATAACATAATGCTTAATTTCCATAAAGATTAATATTACGATACATATTTAACGTAGTTTTTTATCTTCAGACGATTAAATAATTATTTTGAACACAAAATCGGTTATTGTGATTAAACCATGATAGCTAGATATATGTTCTCGCGAACTTTTTTGTAGGTCTTAATGGGATCTACAAACCTGTAGTACATCATTTTGTTGTATTATCAATAGTTTTTGCAGCGCACGCAAAAATAGGTTTTCGATTTTACACCTTGTGTTACAAAATAGCAATTTTATTACGGATCCCTAATTTTGAAAAAAAATATATATAGCCTATAGCCTTCCTCGATAAATGGACTACCCAACACTGAAAGAATCATTCAAATCGGACCAGTAGTTCCAGAGATTAGCGCGTTCAAACAATCAAACAAACAAACTCTGCAGCTTTATAATATTAGTATAGATTAATAAAATGTGAAAAAATAATTATTGCACTGGAAATTAATAATAAATTCACGATGAGAGTAAAATTAACGTAATAGATGCACAGAAAAATTTAAATAATACGTATAAGTCACTGCTACGATCGATACACAAATGAAATCAAAAAAAATGGCCGAAAACTGTATATTGAGGAAGACAGGAGACCGGCTTCCTTCTCATCCCTACTCCGTGATGTTTGCTGGATGAGAGGTGACCCAGGTAGACATCTAGCGGGGATAACTGATCGATTGATCGTTGATCGGTTATCGACCGGTGAAGGCCGAAAATCAAATTGAATTGAGAAAAAAAAGAAATTATTAAAAATAAAAATCGTGGTGGTAAAATAGGGGTTAATTTTAAAGGGTTGAAAATTCAGGGTTAAATGTATTTACTAATGCTGTATCATAAAAAAATAAAAAATATACTTAAAATTAAAAAAAAAATAGGGGTGGATTACCCTTAACATTTAGAGGCATGAAAAATAGATTACATCCGATTCTCAGACCTACTGAATATGCATATAAAATTTCACGAAAATCGGTCGAGCCGTTTCGGAGGAGTTTAACCACAAACACCGCGACACGAGAATTTTATATATTAGACTTGAATTTTTCGTACATTTTAATATATAGTTTCTCATATTTTGAGACACATTATACATCATACATACATCGTGCTGGTGTAGTTGGATAAAAATATGTAGTTTTTTCTATGTAGGTACTTTCTTTCCTGACAGGCGGGTTCTAGTGCACCCCCTTGCACACCCTTCCCGGCACCCATGGTAATTTAACTGTGATCTTCTGTAAGGTGAAGTTTACTTCCCCCAGATGAGTGCTCCAATTCAAGCGAAATACACGCTATGTCCTACTTGTCTTAAACATTGTATTTTATTATTTATTATACATAAATGCCTATGCCGTGCGTCTTACGAATTTTCTGTGTGTCAAGAGAGTTCTTTTTTGTAGCCAAAGCAGCAGAGGTCTTTATTTTTTTGTTTCTCTCTTCGCAGTCCTCGTCTTCGAACATTTCGGTGGTGAACAGGGGTGTGTGCGCACGAAGTTCAGACATAGCCGCGGCGCGACACCTAGCTAACATTAATGTTCGCGAAAGTTGTATATAATTGAATTGTTGAAAACAACTAGTAGTAATATAATAAAAGTTGTTTAAGGAAAACTTAAGTAATGATAATGGTATTTTTATTTATGATTAATTAAATTTAAGATAAATAAAATTAAAAAGGACGTAATTTTTAATATTATAAAAATTTAAAAAGATCCCATAAAATATAATGTACATACTATAAATTCTTTTTTATATAGCTTTGGACGAAGAAAAGGTAATTTTCATAATTTTGTATTAACAATAGGTAATTAAAGAAATGCAAGTACCTGTACTGTGTCATGTCATCAATAACTTTATAATACAATTATACACAAGGTTCTACCTTTCCTACAAATTGAAACGAAACAAAGGTTTGTTAATTAATTGAAAATGTTCTGAAAGAAATGTATTAAAAAAAGCACTTATTAAAAAAGCTTATTACAAAGTGTCTGATTATATTACAGACAAAAATGCTTGGGTTTGAACTGTTCCAATCATTCCAACAGGTTTTCTATATTAAATAAATCATGATTGTATTGACGTTGTAACAACATAATGATTTGTAAATGTTGTTACATTATGCTTTTAATGTTGTGGAGTTTTTTTCGCTCGTTTTTCTCCGCAGCTAAAAAATATGACCAATAACGAGTGGTAGGGAAAAAAAATGTTTGGACGATTCAAAAGTGTTGTACTATACATCCAATTTGAATAAAGATATATTGATTTCTGATTTCTGATTTCTGATTTCTGATTATTGCTATATAAATTTATTTGGTTGAATTCTGTAGCTTTGCAGATATCAAAGCGTTGTTGTAGTTCTTAAAGAAGTGACAGATTGTAACTAGTTTTAAGTAAAAATGTGGTGATAATTATGGTTTGAAAAGCATCTAAATGAAATAATTATAATTCTTTAAGATGGTTACTCCAATTAAATCATTCTTAGTAGACAATGAACTACAGAAAACCATAATATTTGCCAGCTGCTAAAGAGTGCATCGAAAATAATGTAAAACAAAAAGAGACATTTATAATGAAAACAAAAACTGTTTATAAGAAACTTAAAAATATGCTATGATTGGAGCATACTTTATTGTATAGTAGATTGTAGATTTTATAGCTTTAGATTATTATTTTACTCAGTCTCAGTTTGGTTAGGTCTAAAGTTTTCTGTGGAAATTTTAAGTGACCGGCTGCTATACTAAAAAAGTTCCAATATGCCTTGTCCACATTTTACTATCCTAGACTGGAAAACAACCAGAAGGCGCAATTTATATTTTGGTTCCACTCCCGCTTCAAAAATTCCAGCATGGGATATCTATGCACTGTACTTTGTTTTTGTATGCTATTGCAATTATAAAACTTCTTTTTGCCAAAAAGTGGCTCGTCAGCCATTTGTCTTTTTCGTTTGCATTCCAGCTAAATAACTCACGTCACATCTACGGCAAAATTTACGAATCTGCTTTTTTAGTAAAAATCTATAATTAAAAAACTGCACATAATGGGGTACTTAACACTAGGGAAAAGTCACACAATTTTATCAATGACGGTTCCAAAAGTCGGATTGTTTGAATCTGCATTTTATGTTTATGCACCCAAAGTAAACTTACCAAATTAATATACGATATTTTGGCGTAGTAGGTTTTATAAAATTTAAATTCGTAAGTTTACTATGGAAGTAACAAATATATCTTGTCAGCAATTAAGTCAGATCCGTGTTGCAGTCGTATTAGGTCTGATTAGGTCACGTGGACACGAGACCTAATCACCACTAAAAATTAATGAAGTTTTATAACAAATTGGTATTATTGTTACAAACGCATTTGACAAAAGTAAATCACATAAATACCTTACCTTATCGAATAAATTCAATACTCTAATTTGGAACGTTTGACTTGATAATTCCACTTGATAATATACGTCTGTACATGAACATGATAGTAGACACCTCTCATTTGTCTTAAAATTTCATAAGTTTTTCAAAAATCAAACGGGTAATAATTTTTGTAGCTTTACTAATTAAAATACTAACATTTTTTTATGCTCAACGGTATAGATGCACTGTTGAAAGACTTTCGAAGGTAGCTCGACAAGTAAATAAAATCATAATTCAGACGACGAATACTAAAAATGATGCGAAACGTCAATAAAGAAATAAATCAGTGCATCTATACCGTTGAAACTTGTTTTATTTCATGAGTAGCGTACGTGAAAATCTAAGAAACAAATATTATATTATACTTTTCAGCAAACTCAACAATATATTATTTATTTTTTAATACAGGACTAATAATGCCCCCGAAAAAATAATAATTTTATTTACATTAAAATGTGTAATATATACTGTACAATGTTATCAATAAAAAATATTGTAATCTAAAATTAATTCAAAGAGTTGTGCACAAATATCGGTTAAGTTCTATTTATATTGTATTAAAGTAAGGAAATTATGTCCGCCCAGTTGAAAATCATGATTTCTAATATTATTATAGTCCCTTAACAAGTAAGTCCCTTAGTAAGTAGTCATGAAATAACAGTTAACCAACAGATGGTACATTTAAAAGCTGGCCAAGTGTTTGCATACTCGTACTTCAGCTATTACTAACGCCGGCTACCTACAAAAAGCTCTTCCAAGCTTTTATGTTGAATAAAAATCTGCAGACATTTATATTTTTAGTACAGTGTATAAAATGGGTCACCTACACTGTTCTAAAAACTTGACGTACAATTTGTGTACAATACAGTGTAAAGACAACCATATAAATTGCTGGATTGTCAATCAAGATTTTTAGAACACAGTGAAAAAAATTGTACACCGTTTTAAAAATCATGATTGACAATTTAGCAATTAGTGTGAATGCCCTTGACGGGTTGTCCTTGTATTATGCCTCTCTTTTAGTACGTAGATTTTACTTTCCTACACAATATTTAGCGTTTGTGTATCGTGATTCCAATTAAAAATATACTCGTACATTCATGGATACGTAATCGAGCGGCCAAGTTCACACTCTGTAAATTGGTTATTGACCGTGATTATGTTCTGACTTCGTTATTTGTATAAACTTGATATTCTTATTTCTTAACATAGATATAAAAAAATGAAATTAAGTGATCATGCGCGTTGATGTATGCCTATTATTCGGATATTAATTATTTTCTACATAAACTCTAATGTAACTGTAATAGAAGCACATAGAAGTAAGAAAAATAATTAATCCTACCTTGAAACTGAAAGCTATTAAGGTGGAAATATTCCTAAATTAGTTAATTATTTAAATGGTTTTATTTATTTTATAATTAAATACCAATATAATATGATTATTTTGATTAAAAAAACTACTTAATATTTCTCCACATATCACGCACGCTGATTTGGGTTAAAGTATGGGTTAAAATGGAGTTTAGAACATTGTGATAAAATTGTTAGAAAATCAGATTAAATTATGAAAATATTTACAGCGCAGTTTCGTTATGAAAAAAGCAATAACTAACTAAAATTAAGAACATTGTATATAAAATGGAATTGATGGATATTGGGCTATTTTAAAAGAATATTTCTTTCCTTATCATATAAAAAGCGACAAACAATATCTGTTATTCGTAGAGCTTCAATTTAGCTATAACGATATTTAACATCCTGAATATAATGTATCAATAGCAGAACAGCATATAAACAAAATATTTTTCGTTCGATTAAATCTTTTCCACTTTCTATTTATAGGATAGTTATATTTTTTAACATTAGACAACATAAAATTTTGTATTGATGAGCTTTATAGTCGCGGTAACAAGAATCATTAAATCAAAAATAACATATTTGACAAATTTTGGTACAACAGCAAAGATTTTTAATGGTATAAAGTTAAAGTAAAATCGGGGTACTAGGTACCAACGAGCAGCGCTACTTAGAATTAAGATAACAAAGAAATTTTGTCCTGACTTACAGTATAAAACGTATAAAATATGCAGCCGTTGGGTTGTCTTTTATTTACCTGGGCGAACTACTGGGTTACTATAAATAGGTATGTCGATGTTGTTATTGGACAAAATTTTCTTATTGTCTTGATGTTTCAACATTTGATTAAAAATATTAATTTAAAAAATAATTAAAAATAGTCTGTCCAGGATTTTTAAACCACCCATTTTTTATATTTTTTGATATACTAAATTCATGATATGTTTCATTCTAATATCAGATCGATAAAGGTCGATGTAGGTTCGGATCTTCTGCTATTACTTACTTATAGTAAGCGGATTGGAGTGAATAAAATTACAAGGACGTCTTGTAGTACACTGTACCCGAAATCTGTCAATGCTTGCCCGGCTCATCACTAAAGTTATAAATCCGAACTGAACCGCAGACCACAGGCCGCAGCTGCAGACTACAGGCGACACTACTACTTTCTATGAATCTCTATGAAATTGATTCCGAGCGCGGCGACACGCCGCGGCTGCACAATGCATAGACTGCTCGGTCAGCTGCAGGCGCTAGCCGCAGTGTCGCCTGCCTGCAGCCCATTGCGGAATTGTACCTTTATGTGCTAACAAAGCATTTTAAGCTGCGCTGCGGCCCAGCATGATGCGCGCGAACCTTAGGTTCTTTTTACCTTTTTTATTAATTTATTTATCGAACACGTATAAATGTTTATTTTCAAAATTTACGATTTCTCGTAACGGCGACTATACTGTGCCTGTGTATTATACTAAATCATATTAGATATTTCGTGATTGTCGTCATGGTCCGCCCTACTCTAACTTTTATTGTTACTAATGTCGTAGAGTAGGATACAACATGTCGAAGTTCACGACACATCAATTTTAAGGAAACATTATCTGGATATTGAGCTGTAGTTTTTTTAGTGTAAATATAAGAGATTTTGGGCTATTAAGTACCAGCTTCTCTTTCTGGATCGCTTCCAGCGCCGGGCAGCTCGAATTGTCGATAACAAGAACTTTTCCGCTATGCTTGATACTTTGGCTTTGCGTAGAGATGTAGCTTCGCTCTGCATCTTCTATCACATTTATCACGAGGAGTGTTCAGAAGAATTGTTCAGATTAATAGCTGCTTTTCGCTATAGTAACATCGCGACAAAATTTTCATCCACACTATCTTGATATGTGGCCAACCACAACCTTGCGATTTTGTGGAAATTTTTTACCACGTACGACAAAACTGTGGAATACATTCATCCAGCAGTGTCTCCGGATTAATACGACCTGAAAACCTTCAAAAAAGGGCGTACTCCTTCTTCAAGGGATGGCATCTCATTTATGGTACTCCTGGTGTTGCTGGTGTTAATGGGCGACGGTGATCACTTACTCTCATGTGAGCCGTCAGCTCGTACGCACCCTTTTGTATAAAAAAAGATTCTTGTAAAAGTAAAAAAAAATGTTGTATTAGGTAAACGAGGCATGTCCCACTATTTTATTATTATAATCTCTCCATCTTTTTGTTTTGTTGATGTTTCTTAAAATTGTTGCTGCCACGGACTATTTTTCAAATTCAGAAATTTTTACAAAAGCTAAAGGATATTTTAGGAACAAGAAACAAGATTAATGTTTAAAGTAACCTTTTATTTGAAGGTACAACGACAAAATAAATGCGACATACACAATATCGAAATACTAAAATAAAATAAGTATCTACGGTAAAATCAAAAGATGTTGGTTGTTAACAGTTTTTATTAAGGTGTAATTTAAGGCGAAACTCGACTGAAAATTATTATATAGTGATATTGTAACAATGATTGTGAATGTTTTATTAAAACAAATATGAAAATCTGTTTGGTCTTAATTATTTTGATTTATTGTGTCAGTTCCCCTCATTAAATTTACGTTGATGATTTGTAATAATATCTTGTTCATCTAAATATTGCAGAAAGATTTCAGCACTTCACAATTCATACGAAAATGTATTAAATTATTTAAGCACGCTGAGTCCATATGTACTGATTGAAATTAAATTAAATGAATATCAAGCGCATTTTGTATGCAATGTAGTTGGTCCACGGGTACTACGTGATAAAATTCTTGCATGTTATTAACATACCTCTTTATCATAAAGCCGACTATTTTTTATATATTTTAGCCCATCGTTTGGTTTGAGTTAGAAACGAGCCAGGGGTGTATTCTGAACTTCTAATTTTTTAGCTTAATGTCAGGATGTTGATGAACGTGTACACTGTACGAATGGTTTTAAAACTTAAATTTATTGGTATCAGGGGGCCATTTGCCTAACGGGATTGCTTTGGTAAACGCTATCGCTTACGATTTCATTTTGTTATTTCTGACCGCCGAAGGTTTTCAAATAACTCACGCTCATTTTCTTTAATATTGTTATTACCAATGCAAAAGAAAAAAAAGACCGCGAGGCATTTGAAAACCTTAGGCGGCTAGAAATAAAATGAAATCGTAAGCGATAGCGTTTTCCTAAGCATTCCCGTTAGCAAATGGCTCCCTGGTCTATAGCTGACCAAACTCATTACTTATTTCTGTTCCTCTTTATCGCACAGGCAGGTATATTAAACTGTTGATATTAAGCGCATTATCAATCACATCGACCTATTAATATTTTTTTATTTTATTGATTATTGACATTTCAGATCCTTTTAAGTTGCGTGGTTAAAAGAATACAAAGCCTGATGATCCGAAACGTCTTTTTGTCAAATGATATGATTGGTGTATGTGAAAACATATGAAATTAATTAATTTACTTACATCATTAGTATTTTTGTTTCAATACATAATTCAACTGCAAAGATTATGATTTGGGGCTGCAAAACAGTATTAAGTTTCTGTTAATGCTTTCGTTTTAATCATCATCAGCCTATTAATGTCCCCACTGCTAAGGCACAGGCGTCCCCTATGGATGGAATAGGGGGATTGGGCCATGACCCACCATGCGGGCCCAGTGCGGATTCGCAGGTGCTAACGACTGCAGATGCAGCCGGGACCAACAGCTTAACGTGCCTTCCGAAGCGCGGAAGAACTCGAGATAGAAGATTTTTGGTCAGCCATCCAATGACCGACCACTGCGAAAGTTGGATTCTTAAAAGCAAAAGAAAAAGCTTTAATTATCGAGCAGTTCAGATATGAAGCTTCAGATTTATGAGAGTGTGTGTGTCCTGTTCTGTGTACCATACAAATAGTGCAAAGGTTTGCTTCGGTCAGAACGGGGTTTTCATCTTTTGCAAACGATGTCATTAGACAGAGAGGTCAGCAGTGCACCTTTAATGAAGATAATGACACTGTTGTCGTATGAAAATGTTTTACCTTTTGTTACGGCTCGCTTAATAATTATGAGCATAGTGCTTTTTTATTTTATACGTATGTAGAGATGATCCTGGATGAAATAAAAGGTAAGAAGTTAGTTTTAAATTTAACATTACTAATAAACATTATGTATACCTATCTTATTACAATTTCATTGCCTTAAGTGTGTTTTTTTCTTTTAGAAAATAAGAAACATAATATGTTTCTTAATGATAATTATTTAATTATCATTAGCATCATCAGTCAATGTTTGGTAACTTTGTGCCTTCCAAAATGTTCGATTCAAGTTAGAAAGTTGTACGCAGTTCTTCGCAGGAATACGCTAATTATCTGAATAATACTTTTAATTTTAATTAATCATCATGCGGGAATAAACTAATTTGAAATATTTTGGTTGTATTCTTTGGATTTAAACAACCATATACCTATTCAAATGGCGCTACCTTGTAGCCTCAGATGTTCACTTAGGTACTAGAAAAAATCAACTTCTAGTAATTGGCAATGCATTCGCTTGTTTAAGGTGCTATCCCACGATGCGTGTTGTCTCGGGCGAGGCCGCGCTGCGCAGTGTTTCCAAACGTATGAGAACTCGATCGTTCAAGATTTAGCAGTAGGTTTCAATACATGATACGAGGTAAATAGATATCTTGTACAATTTTATATGAGATTTGAACAATGTTGACTGTTTGTTTCATGTACACAAATCAAAAATATTACCAGAAAGTAAATAAATGTCCAGTCCACAAAGGATCAGTCTCAATAAGTACATATTCATTATGATATCACCAAATGCATCCTTATTCGTATCATCGTATCATCACCTCGTACCATGTATATATACTGGTAAATCTCGAACGTTACAGTTCTCATACTTTTTGCAACCCTGCGCGTCGTGTCCTTACCCGCTACAACACACATCGTGGGACAGCACCTTTAGCGAGTAGAAGTAGATATAAAAAGTATACGAAATTCTATTAGGTACGTTAGTCAGATTATCAAAAAGTCCAAAAAATTTTAAAAACAAAGTGCGTCAAAGAATGGTTGTGTAAAATTTTTTGACATTTCAAATCATTATATTATCACTGTAATGATTTAATTAACTATTTGAATAAAGAAATAATACGTGATATTTGCAATTTTTTAAAAAATTAACTACTAGATGTTTAAAGCTAAAGCAATTTTTATTAGAAAAGAATCAACACGGACCAGGCAGCAGAAGGCACTCGAACCCGCACCCTTCGCTATCCGGTGGAATGCACTGACCGTTATGCTACTCAAAATAATAAATAAATAATATATGTCCAATGTTTCTTTTGCCATTGTGAAATATAATTTTAACTACTTGAGAGCAACTATGTCATAACGTTATATTTATCGCTGTTTTCAAAAATGATTATTTAACTCTGAACAAATGAAGCAATTTCTATCAAGCTCTTTACTTAAACTTGCTCAATTACTTCTGACGGGAGCATTAACGCCACATCGAATAGGGGCACTGCCGATATCGTTCAGAAGATTAGGGTTACTTGGAAATTTCTGTTCGTCTATTATCACGTTTCATTGAATGCTTCAAATGGATCTGGGGACTACTGGCTAATTTTAAATTTCTTCTTTTCATAATTCCTTTTGAAGGTGAAAACGTTTTGATAGTACATATCTTATGTCAATATTAACTCTTATATGGCGACCACATTGTCGAGCTATCGCGAACATTTTCCGTTTTCGCGACAAGTCGGGCCACATCACATTTCAAAACACGGTTAGAAATGTGACTAATGCTTGGTAAGACGCATCGTAAAAACAGCAAATGTTCGCAATATTGTGGCCGTAGCATGAAACAAGCATTGGTACTGTTCATTGACAGGTACCTATAATGCTTCTACAGTATTTACCTAAGATTTGAAAATGTTCTAGCCTTACAAAGTCCTGTCCGGGATTCATAGGTACTTTTCTTTCGAAATATGTGATTTTTAAATTAGTAGGTTTAAGATGGCAATCATTGTGACATTAAGTTCACGACTCAACGTGAAACAAATTAAAATAAATGAAGATCAGATAAAATAATAATAAAACAAAACATTTTGAACCCGTAGACAAAAGTCCATCTCTTGGCGTGTCGCTTCATTTGAAAGAGGAAATCTCATTATTACAGACAATTAAACACCAAGGAGGCTGTTTGGGCGAAAAGACTAAATAAGTAGGACATTGCTTACTGAGGGGCATTCATCGGATCGCTTAAGAACAAGGTTTGAGAAAATAAATGAGCAATGAACTCCGAAATAAATTGACTTAGGCATAACTATTTTGGTTCAACAGAAGTGTTGTCAAAGGGAAATAAATCCTAATTAATCAGTAACTTTAAATAATTACCGGTTATTATTTTGGGTTTTCTTTTTGGTGTCATACTTTAAGATAATAATTGGGATATCATACAAAGAAAACCTTAATAAAAAGACACTTAATTTTCACAATTTTTTTAACACGAAATTTTTAACAAGTTTCTTGCAGAAAATCAGCCATAACGGCCACAATCAGAGACGCAATTCAATTGCATCATAACTTTTAATTTTTATAAGAGTTAATAATTTATTTTCTTTGTGATAGCAATTTTACAAACATTAAGTTAAATTGACGACTGTCATTATAGCTAATGATATCCATGGCGTAATTTGCTTCGTTTAGACGACCTGCGAACAATGCAGGAAATGATCCAAATGATAGATAGAACTAGTCGGAATTACATTATTCTGGGAAAGGGACATTAGCAGCCTTTTCTAAATATATTCGAGGTGAATAGCCTAGCTATTCTATTCTAGCCAAAGTACCCAGACGAATGATTAGCAAACGTTTAACGTCACATGAACAAATCGTTTGATGTCACATTAACATGCATATAACGGGTTTAAATAGAATTCATGATATTTTGGCATTGCGCATCCCATCTAAGGTTATTTTATCTTATATATTACGTTATCTTAAAGATACATATATGAAGAGTTGATCTCTGACAGTTCACACTGCCGGGGGGACTTCAAAGATAATACTCGCTCAACGATGCGACGCGCGTGCATGCATTTTTGCTCAAGATTGTCTCCGCGAGCGAATGGCCCTAGTAATCGCCTGTCGTACTCACACACTTGCTTAAAGTCCAGCG